GGTGGCAAAGGAGAGTGAAGGCCAAGCAAAGTTCATCTACTCCAAAACTTCTGGCTCTTCCATCAACTACATCTTTGGGGTTTTCGATGACAGATAGCAAACTCAATACCATCTTTAGCAGCATAGGCAGGAGCTTCTCGAGTGTCGTGGATAAATCAGCAACCTTGCAACGTGAAGAGGCCTCTACTTCACAAGCAGTTACTAATGGTATATCAGAAGATAATGAAACGCTTGAGGTTTCACTTGGTTCTGGTACTCCTTGCTATGGCACTTCTAGTGATGAAGACGATACTGGTGTTCATGATGATCATTGGCATTGACGAGTATGTCTCAATACCCGTTACCATTTACCAATGATCCCTATTTTAGAATTAGAATGAAAATGGGTTGCAAGTGGTGAGACTGCAGTCTAACAAACAACTATGGATCAATACATCATAATAATTAGAAGGCAGGGGGTTTTGAAGGAGTTTGGCCTGGCAGAGCTGTGCTTCTACCAAAAGAGTCGGTGATGGCAGCAGTTCTAGCACACACAAAATACGTTCAAATACAGAATCCGTAGCAAAGATGCTTGTTTATGAAAATTGTGAAGATGCATTCCATAAATCTTGCTGCAATTCGCGTGCAGAATGAATACCAGTTGATGAATGATTTTGGCCTTTGTGCGAGAGGGTTTTCTTAGCATAGGTTAAAATAGTGTGAGGTTGGTATTGACAGTGGAAGGAAAATCTTCTTAATTACTAAGATTATAGCTACTTGAAGTTAAAAGGAAGACCTTGCTTTGAGTCTATCAAGTCAATCTTCCTTACTTGGATCCATGTCAAATCAAGAAAAAAATATGGATCAAAGCATATACATCCTTATGTTCAAAAGGAAAAGAGATGACGAAAGAGTAGTTTTTAATAAAACAAATATGATAAATTTTGAGAGGGTTTGTGTTTTAGGAAGATCTCAAATTTCTTTGCTAGTACTATACATTTAAATGAAGTCGGAAATGAGTTTTAGCTCTTTTCCTCTTTTTTCCTCCCAAAAAACTTACCGTTCTCTGTCCTCTCTCTTGACTCCCATGCTATCATATCTTCTTCTTGCTTTGATGATATCGTCAAAAGACACCTTCAACATGATCAATGGAGTTCGAAGATTTACCATTAATTAACGCTAGGTTGAACTTGTTATATTCTCAGGTTATTATTCTAACCATATGGGATTCTAATTTTTTTTCTTCAAAATTATTGTTCATATTTAATATTTAAGGAAGAATTTGATATAATGTATAGATATACCAATTTCGAAACACCCTAAATTTACTAAAAAAACAAAAAACAACCAAATAAAATTCTAAATTGAATCCAATCTATATTTTTAGACATGTTTACAAGAAAAAACCACTGTCATCAAACTTTTCATTGTTGTCTGGGCACTGCTTCTTACTAGGAAGAAAGCCTTGACTAAATCAGGAAAGCTATACCTTCCTCGAAAACAAGACTTTCTTAATAACTCTCCAGCTCTAGATGATTTGTCACCTTTGACTTTTCACCTACCCTATGCTCCTAGTTGAAGTGTTGATCAATCAGCTAGCGATGATCAATATAGATTTCTGTCTTTTGAATTTAATTAAGTGATGAACATTCTGATGACACACATGAATTCTAATAACATTTGTTTTTTTCGCGCTTCTTTGTTTTGTAGCCCCAGGAGAAGAAGGATGAAGACAACCAACCATAGGAGGAGAAGTGATGTTTCTGTGTTGTTTTCTCATCTGCCAGGATCAGGATCTGTTGTCAGCTTATGGGGAGATGCTTCCAATTTTAACGGCATCAAGCCAATCTATCAAAGATTGCCAGTCCTCGAGCTTTCAGGCTGGCTTTTGGATCAACAGTTCTCCTGCAGGTCCGGAAGCCCTTCGTTCTGGCTGTACACGTGCACTTCAATGGTTCAATCTCCAGAGGGCACCAGGACAGCAACAGACATTATACGATTAGCAAGAATGTGCAAGACGTGGAACTGCGTCTTCTCTGTTGTTTCATAATCCAAGTGAACAATGGAACAGTAGCTTGTATCTGATTTTGATTCGTTCTTGTAGCATGAATGTTGACCTTTCTCACTTTTGTGCGGAGCGTGTGCCTCACGCCGACCATCATTGTTAACTTTTCCTTGAGTTTTGTGAATTTGTCTCTTTAAACCCTTTCAAATGATACCAAAAGTGTCACATCAAAGGCAAGTCCACCTGTCATATGTGGCTCACGTGCAACCATCGTTTGTATCTTGTCTTTATGTTCATATATTCATCTAATCAAAACTATTTCTAATTATATTTTTCTAATTATATCTGGAATATTATCATCCCAGCATCGATATGATTTTAATACAATTTTTTCTTTTAAAAAATCAGGAAACTAGTACTGATTTTTTTTTTATCTAAAATCACCGGTACTAGTTTCCTGATTTTTTTTTAAATATAAAAATTTTCAAGAAAATTTAAATTTATATTTTAATATATAAGAGTGTATGCATATACTAGATATTTAACTCATTAGAAAATTTTTTCTCTAATAAAAAAAATGTATATATAGATTTTTCTAATTATGTATGCATATACTAGATATTTAACTCGTACTCTATGATGTGCTAGAAAATTTTTTCTCTAATAAAAAAATGTATATATAGATTTTTCTAATATGTTTTTAACAAAAAAAATATTCGAAGTGTAAATAAGAAAACTTATTTATACATGTAATTAAATAAACAAAAAATCATCCATGTTAAAGTTATTAATAATAATTAAAAATAAAACTAAAAAAATAAAAAGATAAATATAAATCAAGATATTTAATATCACAAAATATGATATTTATCAGGTTGTATTTGTTGAATTTGTTTATTAAATTAATTTTTATTCAATCAAATAATAATAGAAATAGACACATACATTAAATTGATTGATTAAATAAAATAAAGTGAAAAAAATATATTATGCAAGGTTGAACATATTAGAAATATTATCTGAAAATTTAAATAAAATAAAATAAAATGAAAAAAAATATATTATGCAAGTTTGAACATATTAGAAATATTATCTGAAAATAAAAATTTTTATTTTAAAAAATAAAGTTAATCTATGCAAAAGATAAAAAAATATAGATAAATCAAAATAATTTTTTTAAAAAATTAAATACACAAATCACAATTAAAAAAAATCTCTATCCAAAAAAAATTAAATAATCAACAAAAGAAATCAAAGATGATGGGTATAAATTGAAACACAAATTTGAAAATTATTTAAAAAGAGACATTAAGAAAAATTTCAATTAGAAAAAGCAATATTACATGAAAAAAAATAGTCCAAGTGTTATGATTTAACCAGTCAAACTTATGATGCAAATTATAAACTCAATTAGGTTTAATATTTTTATTTTTTTTATTTTTAAATTTATATTTAACCTAAAATAAAAAACCACTAAAAGAAAACAAAAACACAACCCATCTTTAGAGCACTATAATGAAAGAGCCTAGGCTTGTGGGTTGGTCTTCAAGCCCAAGCTCACGCATATGTGTTTGCTTTATTTTTTAAAAGAACGGAAAACTTATTATTCAACTCTATTTTTTGAAAAAAAAAGGTGAATATTGCTAGTAAAAATAAATAATATTTGAGCCATCACTTTGATAGTTGAAAAATCATTGCTATATTATTTTTGTCTAAAAATTCTATTTTTAAAATCAATTTAATTAAAAAAAACTTCATCAACACTCTTCGAATGCCTATAAACCAGCCCATTAATCAAAATATTAAAAAATAATTCAAAAGCTGGAAAACAAAAGGGGTCAATTTTGGATTTCTTAACTTAAATATACCTTTTCAGTTAACACTAAGACTTTAAATAACCATCATAAAATTCTTTTAATATAATAAAACCTGTAAATATAAAAAAAAATCATTTTGATAGTTAGAAATGATGTGAAAAATAATTTTTTTTATAGTCAAAATTTAGTAATTTCTCGAACTTGGTAATCTCTTTCACTAAAAGAAAACAAAAAAAACAACCCATCTTTAGGGTACTGTAATGAAGAGCCTAGGCTTGTGGGTGGGTCTTCAAGCCCAAGCTCACAAATATGTGTTTGTTTTATTTTTTAAAAGAACGGAAAACTTATCATTTAATCCTATTTTTTTTTATAAAAAAGGTGAATATTGCTAGTAAAAATAAATAATATTTGTCTATGAATCTACATTCTAGCCATCACTTTGATAGTTGAAAAATCATCGCTATATTGTTTTTGTCTAAAAATTCTATTTTTAAAGTCAATTTAATTAAAAAAAACTTCACCAACACTCTTGGAATGCCTATAAACCAGCCCACTGATCAAAATATTAAAAAACAATTTAAAAGCTGGAAAACAAAAGGGGTCAATTTTGGATTTCTTGACTTAAATATACCTTTTCAGTTAACATTAAGACTTTAAATAACCATCATAAAATTTTTCTAATATAATAAAACCCGTGAACAATAAAAAAAAAAATCATTTTGATGGTTAGAAATGGTGTGAAAAATATTTTATTTTATAGTCAAAACTTAGTAATTTCTCGAACTTGGTAATCTCTTTCTAATCAAAAACTAAAAAATAATATAAATAAATTTTTAATTTTGGAGATTTAAATGTATTTAAATTATATAAGTTGTGTTATTTTAAAGATTAATTACCTAAATATATTTATCATAAAAATTTTAGCATATTATTTATGTTTTAAGTCTTCTTTATTTTGATTTTTTTTATACTAATTTCATCATTGAAAAACAGCTGGCCTTTAATTAGTACCCTATCTCATAAAATAAAACTTTGATTACCAAGATAAATTATTAAAAAATAGGATTGAATCTACATTATTATTATTATTCTATGAGTGCGCGTGAAGAGGGTCCATCTATATTTAAAAAAAGACTTTTGATGTTTTCCATCATAATATAATAATACACACTCTATCTCAAAGGCTATTTAATAAATCAAAGTTAGATTTCCATCTGGCACTCGCACTAATATCAATCCATCCAGAGGAAATGGAAGGTGGGTGGTGTCCTTCGGCTTGGCGACATTACACTTGAAAGAACCCCGGATTTCCTTTGCAACGAAGTTTTAGCGCGGGAAGCAAGACAGTTTATCTCCTTGTGTACATAATTACCCCCCACGCCCAAAACTTACCAGAAGGATCACAACTCACACGCCCAAAAATGGCATCTCAAAACCCTAATCAAAATTCGTCCCTCTACCCACAAATTATCCAATCAAAACCCGACCCTCTATTCACCTCCTCCTCCCCATCTCCATCCTCAAATCTCTACCCCAAAATTGATCCAGAAGACCTCGTCGAAAACCTTTTTCCTGTACATGATCATTCACAACACGAATATCCACGCGCGCAGTCACACGCTCAAGCGCCACCCTCCGCCCCACCGGAGGTTGTTGAGGAAGTCTTGATAAAGATCGCAGGTGCTGTTGTTAATCTAATTGATAAAAACTATAGTGTAGAACTCGCTTCCGGCGATCTTCACATCGTTAGGCTTAGTCAGGGAAATAATGCTGTGGCTGTTCTGGCCCGTGTTGCTGATGAGATCCAATGGCCATTGGCTAAGGATGAGGCTGCTGTTAAGCTTGATGATTCTCATTACTTTTTCTCCCTTAGATTTCCTAATGAGAATTACTCGTCAGATTCGAGCGACGAGGAGGATGACAAGAGGGAGAAAAGGGTTGATGGGGAGAATATATTGAATTATGGATTGACGATTGCGTCGAAAGGGCAAGAGAGATTGTTGTTGGAGTTTGATCAGATCTTGGGGAGTTATAGTTGTTTTTCGGTGCAGAAAGTATCGGAGAATGCTAAGGAATTGTTGGGTGGAAATGTGGCCAAGGATACTTCGCCGATGGATATGAAGTTAGGAGGGGAGAAGAAGGAGATTATGGAGGGGAAATGTGCTGCCTATTGGACTACATTGGCTCCTAATGTGGAGGATTATAGTGGGACTGCTGGTAAGTTGATTGCTGCGGGGTCAGGGCAGCTGATTAAGGGGATTTTGTGGTGTGGTGATGTAACTATGGATAGGTTGAAGTGGGGGAATGAGGTTATGAAGAAGAGGATGGACCCGAAGGAGAAATCAGAGATTAGTCCTGCTACTTTGAAGAGGATCAAAAGGTGTGGAGATTATAAGATGATGCTGGTCTATCTGCTTTTCTTTTACCTTGAATTTGCCTGATTTTCTTTCTTATTGTGTGGTCTTCAGATTATAGTCCTTTACCTTGAATCATATTCTAGATTAGAAAGCAGTGGATGTAATACTAGTGTGTGCTTGTTATAGCAAAGAAAACTGGGTTTCTACTGTTGTTCTGATTGGTATTGTTTTAAATCAAAATAATCACTTCAAGGATACCTTAGTTTGCGTATGCATGCAGGGCTAAGAGGATGACAAAAATGACCGAGAAAGTAGCAAATGGGCTTCTCTGTGGGGTGCTGAAAGTATCTGGATTTTTCACAAGTTCGCTTGTGAACTCAAAAGTTGGCAAGAAATTCTTTGGCCTTCTTCCAGGGGAAATTGTCCTTGCATCCTTTGATGGATTTAGTACGTCTATCATCTTGAACCTTAATATTGAGTGTTTTTTGTATAATAGATAAGGTTGAATGTGCTTTCTTTACTCCTAACTGCAGCTTTACTTTTAAATGTTGGTAATTTCTGTGAAAGTTGGATCACTGCACCTGCTTCATTATCAACATTTCCCTTTTTTTTTTTCTGCTAAATTTCTGTGGTTTTTCCCCTTGTTTCCATTACTTGTCATGTTGTTGAGTCTCTGGTCTCATATTTCTCTAGGTATGTTTGTAAACGTTGATAGAAAAAAGAAAGGGAATAATATACTGAACCTTCTGCATTGAAGTATTTCTGGAGTAATTTTTATTGATGGAGATCATTACACTGATGTAAAAGTAGCTCCCCATTCAATTAGCTTTCACGCATCAGATCAGTCTTTTAGATAAATTTTGCAGGTCTAAGGTAGATGTGGACGATAACATAGGAGTGATTATGGCCAATTTCGGCTTTAACCTTAATGGATCAGTGCATTAGTTTTCTACTCGTTGAGGTTTATTCATCATAATGAATGGGTAACAGATTTTAGGCAGCAGTTTTATTTTATATCCATATCACATAAGGATGAGGTGATATGAATTTTCCTGACTACCATTTATTAAATTGACACGCATTGTTGATTGTTCAAAGTTGTCTGTTCATTGTGATGGCTATTCTACTGCATGCCTCTTGTCCCATTTCAATTGAAAAATGCCTCATATTTTGGTTGTTCTGCTAGCTAGCTAGATTTCAGGTCTATACAACATTGAATTGTACTCTCTTGAGGCCTTTAGCTTTCTGTTTCAACATAAAGTTGAATATATCTTAGGTCAACATTGAAACCTACCATTTATTAGACAGTTAACAACATTGAATGGATGCATAGTTGGGAGGTCACAAAGATTTCCATTCATGAATGGGAATTGGACCAAAGAAAGGGATGCAATTTTGGACTGTTGGATTAGATTCTGTTCTTGTTAACTCCCATGATGGTGGGTCATTATCTCAATGCCTTGACTGTCCATTGGTAGATATTTGGAGACTGCTATCAGTTTGCTGTTAATCCCCGCGTTAATGCTGTGTTTTTTTCCCTTCACTGGAAAATCATGGAAGTTCATTTCCTATTCATTCATTCTTTAAACGCCAAATTTGACATTGCTATATTTTTTGAAAAAGAAAAAAGAAAAAAAATAATTTTCATTAATTGTGCTTGTCTGTTAGGCCATAAATTTGTTCAGCACTGAGCATTTGCTGATCAGATATATATGATTTTGTTTGTGATCTTTCTAGAGTGAACTTCTATTGGTGATTTGCACATTTGTATTGAATCTCCCTCTGTACTTCATTGTATTTCCATTTTCATGTAAACAGACAAGGTGTGCGATGCTCTTGAAGTAGCTGGACGAAATGTGATGTCAACATCGTCTACTGTGACAACTGAACTTGTCTCCCACAGGTAGAGTTTGCATCAAAGATGAAATGGTGACATGTATAAAAAATCAAGGAACTCTTTGATCTGACCTGACTCTCTAACTGTTTATTAATGAAAGGATGAATAGCAAAAATTTATAGTCCTATCATAAGGTAGATCTGTTTGGACTGACAGTATGGAGAGGTAATAGGTTTTTATTCCTGTGTAAGTGTCAAGAATCATTACATCTTTTTGCATCTTCTTTTAATCAGAAATGACGAGAGTATAAAATTGGCCTGTAACCTGTCAGCAATTATCAGCATGTGATTGGAGAACCAATTATACAATTATGCTTTGTGTAGAAACTGGGCCTGTAACCTGTCAGCAGTTTTGAACACCTGTTTGGAGACCAAGGAAACAAATCATACAATTATGCTTTATGTCACTGTTGTGCCTTAATCTCATTGTGTCTGGCATTCAATAGATTGAGCATTCACAATATCAATATTATCTTAAATCAGTAATGGGTTCTTTTGGTGGTCTAAAATCTAAAAAGGCACCTGAATTGGACCAAATCTTTTGTTAGGCTATTGGTCTCTTGTTTCCTTAAAGTCATGAAGTAAGACATCGACTTCTCAATAAGTTTTTTGATACCACAATGCATTCCTCTGAAAAAGCAGTGGTATGTGTGAACGAGGTGTTCAATTTAAAAGAGCTATAGCCCTTGAGGAGGTGGGTGGGGGGAGAATTGAAGTGTGAAGTTGTTGTATGTTGCTCTTGCAGGTATGGTGAAGAAGCAGCCAAAGCTACAAATGAAGGGCTTGGTGCTACAGGGCATGCAATTGGGACTGCATGGGCTGCATTCAAAATCCGAAAGGCATTTAATCCAAAAAGTGTACTGAAGCCCAGTTCACTGGCCAAGTCTGCTGCTAAAGCTGCCGCCGCCGAGAAGAAGGCAAAAAATTCCAAGTGACTGGGATGCTCCAGTCTCCACTTTTACCTACTGTTAAGATGAGACATTAAATAGAAATGTTGTTTGTCTGTAGCTGGATTTATATAGTAATTTTATATAATTTATGTAACAATTCATAGCAAACATGATGTGAAATACTAAACTTGAACATGCAGCGCTGGCTTTTCTAATGTAGCTCCTTTCCTGAATGGGTTCTCAGCTTTGCAGGTGCGTTCTGAAATTACCATAGAATTGTTCCACTGGCTTCGCTTCCGTGTGGCATTTTGAATGTAGGAATCTATAACATTTTGGAATGGCATTTTCATTTGGCAGATTTGAAAATCTGTGGCCCCATACTGGGTTATCAGTTTACTATTGTTCAGCTCGCTCTTACAATCATTTGAAGATGTTCAGCTCGCTCTTACAATCATTTGAAGATGATTCCACAACCATTCCTGAAGATATCGTAATTAAACAAGTTACCAACAAATTCTATCCTTAAAAGATTCATCGTGTTCCTTTTTTCAAGTGCTAGCCAGTAGAATTAGTTAAACACCATTCTCTTCTGCGGATATTTTCATACCCTTTTAGCTTTTCCGACTCATGTAGCCAGACAGGAAAATATAGGTGTTTGGTGATGTGTGGAATGCCATTGTTCTCATTGCGTCTTTGGACAAGTGATCATGGTATTATTCATCAACTAAAGGCACTCTCTCTTTCACACACAGCTAGCTCTTCAAGCTCCTGGAAGACGAATTTCACACAAATCCACTGGTTCATGCGAGACAGACAGACACACAAGGCATGCCTTGTGCTTAAAATGGCCTTGGAAGTCTCAGCCTCTTCATGGTGCATCAGCATCCACCTTCCTATCCTACCATTTGTGTGCCAGTCACTAATCGAATGGTGGGTCATATCCTCAAAGTGATCTAATGAGATAACAAAACATTTGGGATAGCAATTAACAAACAAACCACACCGAATCATGGTGGATCCTAACAGCTCAGGAAGATTGCCAAGCGCACCATGTTTTCAGACACATCACCAGCACAAACAAGTCCATTACCTTTCCTACTCCGATAATATTTTCTTATGGAGCACCATCGTGGAAGGATGGATGTGCCCGTGGTAATTCAACTTTCAATTGGCTCCACTACCTCACTCGCCATGACCACACGAACTTGCAAAAGCTTTTTATGTCATAACAAACGAATCATGTTTTCTAGCATGCTAACCAATGATATATCAAACGGTTCATGCATCTCGGCTACGGCCCTCTTTTGCATGATTCTCTGTCTGATCCTGATAACGAGATGTCTCAGATATTTTACTCCACTTACATTTTTTTTTTTAAAAGAAGTTTATGATGAACACAGGAGAAGGTGATGATCTTGCAGTCCTATCCTATCTTACTTGCAGGAACTATACTTTCTCAAATCAATAACACTGACAGATTAATTATAGAAATTACGATCATTGAACTTCAAGGGAAGAAATGTGCCACTGGCTAGTTCCTCATGGTGGAGCTCAAAGCAGAGTACGACAAACGTGATGGTATGCTATGGGCACTGAAGCCATTGTCTGCTTTAGGGCTAAACTCATGACCTCATCTTCAAGAATAGTGGTTGTTGAGGGAAAGCAAGCCATAATCTACCGTACCTTCACATTTGAGCATGGGAAATCAATAATATTGGTGGATTAGTGAAGTGGAGTCACAAAAGCTTTGTTCTAGAGGATGAAGTCAAGCCAGAGAGAGAGAGAGAGAGAGCACGCCCCTGCTTTGCGTGTAAATTAATTATATATAGCCGTCCTCACACTCGTCTTTATCCATGATGGATTGATGATACCAGCTACCCCAACTTGATCCAAAAACAATGTTATCGCCAGCTTATATTTTCACTACCCCTTCTTTAAATTCTTTAATCCTGGGCTTTAATGATTCTATGTTAGATCCCCCGATACCTAATTAGTTCAACTTTAGCAAACTAATTCTTTTAATTAAAGAAAAAGATTGCATGTTTACCTAATTGTTCATGTGTTTGTTCATGGGAGATCAAGCATTTTTTTATTACGAACTAAATGCTTGCGTTGTATGCTTCTTTGTCATGTCAATGCTTTTTTTATTATTAAGAGATTTTTTTGTGTTTATGTTTGAGATCAATAAAATAAATATAAAACTAAATGTATAAATAAATAATAATAAATTTATTAATTTTAATTAAATATTGAGTGGGGAAGCTGGGATAAAAATACTATTTAAAAAAAAAATTAAAAATTTGTTTCAATTTGAAATTGAATCTTGAAAGTTTTAATTGATTTAAATCAATAAAATTAAATTTTATTTTTTAAAATCAAATCTTAACTTAGTATAAAAATTAATTTTTAACATTACGATAGCCTTGTACAGAATCAACTAAAACCAAATATCAAATCTAATCCCAAAACAACTTAAAGTGAAAGGATTAGATTGAAAGTAAAAAAGTCATGCGACAAAAAAATTAAGAAAAGGAAAACATTAAAGATAGTTGTAATTATATCTTTGTTCTTTTATGTTGTATTTCCATTATTTTTTTTATATTTCTTCCATTTTGTATTGTCTCGCATCTTTTAATAATTCCAAACACCATTTCGTGAAACCACACTATAATTGTTAAATGAAAAGTAAAACAAAAAAGGATGCAATAAAAAAATTAAATGGAAAGCAAAAGGATCATATTAAAAAAAATCTAATAAAAAAAACTTGAATAAAAAAAAATAAATTCAAAATGATTCACTACTAATATGAAGTATTTTTCACCTCAAATATTTTAATGTAGAATCCTTTCTCTGAGATAATCTACTATAAAAGAGAGTTTCATAACATAGTTTGTTCTAGTATAATAGTATAATAAAGTTACATTCATAGCTGTCAAAAATATTTTTTTGACACGATATAAAAAATATAATATAAATTTAAATTATAAAAAAAATCATAAAATTATAAGAATTTTTTTTTTATATATATAATTCAAGTATCTTAAAATACTAATAAAAAAATTAAATAGAAAGCAAAAGGATCATTGACACGACTAAAAGGTTGATGTCTTCTCCCAAGTGCAGGAGTGTCGAAGTAATAAAT